CCGTCGCTTGTCCCAGCTCCCGCCAACCTACCGTTTGAAAGCATGCAAAATGCAAAATGCGAGTAGATAAATAAGTACCACCATGGTGGGAAGGTAATGGCATTCTGTGTCTAGTCGCACTGGCCATGTGACCACGGAGGATTGTCTTCAGACAAAATGCTAGCTCTATGGGTTGGAAAAGGAGATGAGCACCGCCCCCTAGAGTCGGACATGACTGGAAAAAATTGTCAAGGGGAATCTTTACCTTTACCTATATGCTTGCACAGACTCACGGCTACTCTCTTAAAAACTACATTTATGTCACTTTGAGCAAAAGCCACCTCTTTAGACACAAGGAGTGCAAATACACATCCTTGATATTTGTACGTAGAGCCATGGTACTGACACTCTCGAACTGGCTCCCTTCACACTGGAACCACAAGGAACACCAGCGGCAGCCCAGGATGTTGCATGCGGTGGGAACTCCAGCCTTCATTTCTCTCTTCTTCCTCGACCACCTTTGGGGTCTGCTGGACTCACAGAGCAGTGGCTGAGGCCCTTTCCGAGGTAAGCCTTGAAGGGAAGCTGCAAGCAAGTGGGTTCGCTTCCTCCCCATCCTCCAGGAATGCCTGTGCCTGTGTTTTGCTCCAGCTGTGGAACTCAGTGCGCCACCCTTCGCCACCCCAAGACGGGCCAAGCACTGTGCCAGGAGTGTGACACGGCTCTTCCGGCCATTGGGGCTTCAGGCAGCAAGGATTCCACAGTGCCGGTTCATATACTGCAGCTGCTAAACAAGCAGCCCGGTTATGGCTTGTACCTCCTGTTGTTTTCCATGGATGAGGGCATCGCTGGCTACCAGGAGGGCTTGCTGGCACCAGTTTGCTGCAACCAGGGCTGGATGGACCTACAACACACATTGTCTCCTATCGGGAGCTGTACGGGTGGAGCCTGGACCACCTTGCCTGCCACATCGGACCCAAGAACAACTGCACTTTTTGCAGTGTCTTCCAATGACAGGTGCTTGACTGAGGCACTTATTTGGTTGGAGCAGTCAAGATCACCACAAATTCGTGAGAGTCAGAGACAACATCACTCTTCCAGGAAAATGTGTGGAAAATCCAATTACCATTCCTAGGGAGTGTGTGAAGCAAAACAACAGTCTCTGAGCATGTGCTGAGGGCAAACATACCATATTTTTCCGTGTATAAGACTATACTTTTGTCTAAAATCTTTAAACTAAAAATTGAGGGTCATCTTGTACACTGAAGTAAGCTGAGGAGAGAACAAAAACAAGTGGAGGGCTTTGATCCCTGCTTTCCCCTCCACTTGCTAAGCCCACTTAGATTTCTTAATTTGGGGTTAGAAAAGTGGGGGGCATCTTATACATATGGGGGCATCTTATACATGGAAAAATACGGTGTATAGTGCTTTTCATTTAGACTTTTAAGAGCATCTGGCCTTGAGGAGCAAGAACTCATGCAGCAGTGATTTCCCGAAACCTCAAAAAGGCAAATATATAATTAATTACAATTGATGTTTTTATGTGCAAAGTGACCCAAGAAGGAATACAGACCTTGTCCCTTTAGATGTTTTTCAGCACAAACTCCACCAAGACTTACCCAGCATGGTCAATAAAGGGGATTATGGGATTTATAGTTTCAAATATTTGAATTGCTGAAGTTTTCTCATCCCTGGTCTAAGTCTGATTTAGGGGAAAATCTATAGGCAGTGGTGACCGACAAAGGCTTTTGGGAGTCAGTGATGGAGAGAAACACTAAAATATCATAAACAGATGCTAGCTTTCAACCCCACACAGGTTTTCATCAGGCCAGGAGTTTCAGATCTGAGGGTGGTGTAAAATAAATATTCCAAAATCCATAGCCAGATGTGCAAGCCAAGTCTGTAATGCAGACTTCTGGGGAGTTGAAAGTAAGGCGGACTTGATTTAAATGAAATTGACTTAAATCATGATTTAAATTTAAGAAATTGGATTTTTGACAATTTAATTAAAAATTGATTTTTAAAATTTGAATCATGACTTAAATAAATAATTGGATTTCAAAAAAATCATTGATTTTTATTCACTCTGATTGAAAGCTCGTTTCTGCTGATAAAACTAGCATCTACTTTTGCCTCTGGATTGTGTGGGGGGACCACACGTTTCCCCCATCTTTCTTAGTGATAGGAAATACTTTTCAGAAGCCCCAAATATACGAACAGTTCTATGGCTCTGTAGTAGATTCCAGTCTAAATGCAGAGCTTAGAAAACTGGCTATGATGGCAGGGGGGTTGTGGAAGTTTGGTAACTTCACTAAGCTCTGCCCTCATGTAAAGTTTGGATTTCCTGCCTGTGCATACTTGGAGGAAACAAAAGGAGTTTACTCTCCGTTTGACTTGTTCTGCTGCTTTTTATGACCTTTCCCCTGTCAAAATGCAGATGCTGTCGCTGAGACAGTGCTGATGATTTTCTTGCATGGGGATGCAGGGTGGCTTTGACACCGTGCAGAGATCCTGACCGGTAGTGAGGGGGCATTGCCACACTGCCAGCCACTCAAGTATGCCTCCAAAAAGCAGATTGTGCTGTAAGCTGATGTCCAAGGCTTAGACTCCTTCATCACTACCAGGGCCATGTCTTGCTCAAAGACCTTGAAGTTACACAGTCCAGCATAGTAACCGACCTGGTTCACCCTGGTAAGCAGCTGGTAGTGTGTGTGTGAGGACATCTGCATGTTCACACAGGGCACTTGCCAGTGTTGCAGCTACCTCTCTCAGTAAAGCATGCTTGCTGCTTGAAGGGCTTCATCGTGGTCTCCTGACCTTGGACATTGACAAGCCCAGCCACCTGAAGAAGGCTTTGCTGAATGGGGAAAAGCCAGAGGACAGCCAGCGAGGACAGGAAGATTCTTGGCAGGCAAGCCAGTAACTCAGGACTATAGATTTCTCATCCGCCCCATTTCCCCAGCTCCCTTTTCTGCGATGCTTCTGTTGTCTCAGATCATTCAAGGTCACCAGTGTTATGCTTTTAACAACAATCTGTGTGGATTGGGGTGGGGAATGTTGGGCCTTCCAGATAAAGCAGGACTCTCCAATTCCCACCAGGGTTAGCTAGGATTGCCAGCGGTGTGAATTTGTGGAAATTGTAGTCCAACAGCATCATGAGTAGAGGTGGGCAAAGTGCAGCCACATGCAGCTCCAAAGAGATCCCCCTGAAGGCCCCCAAGTCTCTGCAGAGCACTTCAAACCTGCAAATATTCGGTTTATGCCCCTCCGTGGAAATTACCCCGAGATGCTTCTGAGGCCACAATCTCCCCTCTCAACCTAATTTCACCCTCAATTTGTGTTAGATTTTAAAGCCTTTTTAAAAGAAATCACGAGTACATTTTGGGGGGAGAATGTTTGGGGGTAGCCATCCAAAGTCCACGTTAGGGCAAATATGGGCCCACAGACCCAGGGAAACTGCCGACCTGAATATAGAGGGATACAGGTTTCTTATTCCTCATGTAGGCATTGCTTTTTTGGCTTTTCTGACTCACGATGATGGGAGTTATGGTCCAACAACATCTGGAAGATAATCTGCCCCTAATCCCTACTCTGTTCTTTAGTCATTGTCAGGTATGGATACAAATACAACAGGATGGAAGGTGGGTGTTGTTGCAATAGCTGTTCTCCATTGCAGAAGGAGTGATTCGGAGCAATCGCTTCCAACATAACCATTTTTAATGATATTAAATCTGACTTTTGATCATCATCCAGTGTTTGTCCATTCTAATCTGGAATTTTGGATATGTGGGGAAAAGAGGACACTCAGTGGTATCAGTATAGATTATTTGTCAGTCTTGTTCAGTATTGTCTACAGTGTCTATCAGTGATGCTCCAGATTTTCCAGAAGAGAGGTGGGAAATGTTGCAGTCATCCAGATGTTGTTGGACTCCAGATCCCATTAACATGAGCAGTGGCAGGGATCAAAATTTGTACTCTAGCAACATCCAGCAGAACAAAGGTTCTCTGTCCTTGTCAATGAGGCATGGATAGCCTATGACCTTCCAGATGTTAGACTACAAGTCCCATCAGTCCCATTCTACCTCAAAGCAGTTGGTTTTGCTGGCTAGAATTTATTGGAGAACAAGATGTGGAGAGCTGCCTGTTCCTGACTTAAGAAATAATAAAACAAGCTATAGTCATGATGTTTGAGCAACTTGTTCTGTGTTTCCCCATCTAATTCCAGTAGCTCTTTCTAAATAAGGAGAGATTCCATGATTGAAAAGAAGTTACCTGTAAACCACTGTGAAGTCATACACCTTAAGAATTAAAACAGTGTTCCTCTAGCTTAGTGGTCCCCAATCTTGGGCCTCCAGATGTTTTTGGACTACAACTCCCAGAAGCCTTTGCCACCACCTCTGCTGACCAGGATTTCTGGGAGTTGTAGTCCAAGAACATCTGGAAACCCAAGGTTGAGGACAACTGCTCTAGCTGTTCTGAACTGCAGCTCTGAGGACCTTCGGCCATTTGCCAAGGGAAGTGGGGCTCCTGGGAGCTGAAGTCCCAGCCCATCTGGAGGGCCAACAGTTGAGAACCACTGTGTTAAAAGAAATCTTAAAAGGTTACCTTGCCCAGCACCCTCTCAATGCTGAGTCTACACCGCAGGAAGGCAGCTACAGCATCCCTTACAGATGGCTATCCTTAAATATCACCTGCAAAGAATAGCCCACCACCTCCTGTTGGGACACAGTTTTACCACCAAACAGTTTTTACTACTAAGAAAATTCTTCTGTGTTTAGCTGAAATCTGCTTTCTGGACAAGTTGGACAAGCTAAAACTCCTTTTTGCAGGTTGCTCGAAAAGCTGTAATGATATATGTGACCTTTCCAACAGTCTTATTCCACTTGGTTCTTCAAGACAATTGAAATCACCCAGAAATGGGAGTGACTTTCTACAGCCACAGGTTGAAAGGGGCTCCTAGCTTTCTCTGCCATGTGAGCAAATAAGGCTCGAAACAAGGACCAGATACCACAGTGGCTCCATTCATTTATTATGGGACATCTGCCTTGAAGTCATGCGTACTTGTGAGTCAACGTGTAGCTATGGTCTCTTCGATCCAGTCTCTATATTTGCAGATCTCTGTGTAAATGGCAGGACTGTTCTTGGCTCCACATGTCTGAGGTCCCCATGACACTAAACCATGCAGGAGCCCATTGCAAACCAGGGGGCTTCCAGAATCACCCTGTAGATTCAGCGAAGCAGAATGTTAAAAGTCCAAATTGGGAAGTCTAATTAAATGCAAGGTTTTAAAAAGGAAGCAGAGTCTTAGGAGATCTCAGATTAAAACAGACCTACATTTCTATAGGAAAACAAAGCAAATAAAAACATTACTTTTGGATATAGGTTTCCTATTTCTCATGTAGAAATTGCTCTTTTGTAATTAGGAGGCAGGTACAGCTCCATGTCAAGAATGGGGAATATGTTGCTGTCCAGAAGGTGGACAGTGAGCCATACAATTCCTCACTGGATGATGGGTGTCAAGGTCCAACAACATCTGGAAGACTGTATGTCCCCAATTCCTACTCTGCCTTTGCAATGGCTTCTCAAGCCATGGATCCCTGTGCGGTGGGTCTTTCATTAACATAGCTTGGTTCTCACTTGCAAGTTGTAATTCTATTAATCCTTTATGGTCTTCTCCTATCATTTGATGAAACAGAATGTGCTCCCATGGAAATTGGTTGGAAGTTTGACTGTTTGACCCATACAGAGATTCTTGAGCTTGACAAGCCTGTACCTGCCCATGCTCCATGGCAAATAAAGATACTCTGCACATGCCTTTGGAAGATGGCACTGGTTTTTCGACAGGAGAATTCAGATTTTCCAGTTTAAATCCTCAAGATCACAGCCCACTATTCCAAAGAATATGTTGATACTGGGTTTACCCAGCTGTTAAAGGGAGTGATTTTCCCTTTTGCATTGAGTTCTGTTTTAAGCATTTTTTTCCACTTTATAAAGTGGTTGCTGTTGTTGACCTATAACTCCCAGAATACTCCAGCTTGCATGACCATGTAGCTTCATGGGAATAGTCAGGCTCCCACCTATTTCAGAGGGGGCAGCCTCTTATTTGTTCAAACCAAAGCCCCCTTTTCTTTAAGAGGCTACATGTCTTGGACCCTTACCCAAGGTGGAATAAGTTCCTTTTTTGGACTAGAACTGTCAGAATAGTCTAGCTGGCTGAGGAATTATGGGAGTTAGAGTCAAAAAACAATCTTGATCCCTTTGAACCAATAGGGATGAGACAGTGGTTGGAACTACCACATAATTTTCTCTAGGGTTGGAGGGGAGGGGAGGGGAAAGACTAAAGTAGTGTGGATGTTGGGAACACAGGTCCCCAGTGACCCCCAATTAGTATTGCTTTGCTCACCGTCTTTACTTGGATTGGTAGCTGTTTGTGCAACCTGTATCCATTCTGTTTTTGTCACTCACCCGGCATGAATCTATGCCCCCTTCCAGTGCTCCTGCACAGATCTGTTTTTCTGTAAAGTAGTTTCCATATGCAGATTGGCAGAGTTCTTTCCTCAAGACGCTGATCTTCGCACATTGCAGGGTATTGGTGTAATTTACTGCAAGATGAACGTGCTTGAATGAATGACTAAATCATGGGCTGTTTGAAGCTTGTGCCTACCGGTACTACACTTTAATTTCTGGATGCTTCCTCACAAACTCTGCTCCCTTCTTATATCTGGAAACAACATGTGCAGATGAAGTTACTTCATGTCCCAAAATTGGAAACTGTTGGCACTCAGGATGCTGCTGCTGGATTCCAAATTCTGTCATTCCAGATCATTGTGAGTCAAGGGGGTGTAATGGTTAGTGACACAAGTGAGCCTTGGGAAATAAATCCAGACTGTAATCTCCCCTGACCCATGGAATCCACAGGTTAACTTTGGATCAGTCAGCAGCCTCTCAGCTTGATTTACCTCTTGACAACATGTGCAGATGAAGTTACTTCATGTCCCAAAATTGGAAACTGGTGGCACTCAAGATGCTGCTGCTGGATTCCAAATTCTGTCATTCCAGATCATTGTGAGTCAAGGGTATGTAATGGTTAGTGACACAAGTGAGCCTTGTGAAATAAATCCGGACTGTAATCTCCCCTTGATTTACCTCTTAGAGATGTTGTGAAGAGAAAGCATGTATGCAATCTGAACTCATTGGAAAAAGCATGGGATATAAATGCATCTCATCTCATCTCATCTCATCTAATGCAATATAATGCAATATAATATAACGCAATATAATGCAATATATTCCATTGGCTGAAAACCTGCTGTTTGATGTAAGAAAATTAGGAACTTCCACTCCTTTCCTAGCCAGCATATAAACTTGCTCTGCTGTGATGATCAAGGAGGCACACGTCCCATCCAAGAATCACAGCAGGGACTTTTTATTTGCTGCTTTCAAACATCTTAAAAGTTTTAAATTTTCTTACTCTTACCAACAGAATTCCACCAAATTAATAGAATATCTATTCACAATCATCCCGGAGTGCAGGACATGCAGCAATGCACTCAAATTACAGGAAGCCAGATTGAGATTGAATATCAGGAAAAACTTCCTAACTGTTAGAGCAGTATGACAGAAGAACCTATTAGCTCGAGAGGTGGTGAGTGCTCCAATGCTGGAGGCATTCAAGAGAAACCTAGACAAGCAACTGGCAGATATCCTTTGCTTTGTGTTCCTGCATCAAGCAGAGGGTTGGACTTAATGGCCTTATAGGCCCCTTCCAACTTCATTATTCTATGATTCTAATATAATACGTAAGTACCTTCTGGTGGCTCAGTCCAGGAGGGGTTTATTTTTATTATTATATGTTCATGCATTACATGTATATATTGTCATATATGTCACGCATGGGCAATTTATGTCAAGCACGGGGGAATTCTGGGAGTGGCTCTCCAAAAAGGCAATGTTCCCAAGACCTTGTTCCAACTTCATTATTCTATGATTCTAATATAATACGTAAGTACCTTCTGGTGGCTCAGTCCAGGAGGGGTTTATTTTTATTATTATATGTTCATGCATTACATGTATATATTGTCATATATGTCACACATGGGCAATTTATGTCAAGCACAGGGGAATTCTGGGAGTGGCAATGTTCCCAAGACCTTGCTTTTGAATGAGTAGGAACAGGATTGTAGGACTGCTTCACAGCCTCTCACACCCCTAGTTTCTGCCTCAAACTCTTCCCAAAAGTTAACAAGGAACTCCCAGCTTTTATCCTTACCATCAGGGAAACTTGTGGTGCCCCAGCCAGACACCACACACATGGTTCCAACGGGTGCACATTCTTTAGGCACAGGGATGACCTTAACTGTGTCCCCCAGCTGGGCAGGCTGGTACATCCGCAGAAGCATGAGGTCATTTTTCAGGGTCATTTTTTCAAACTCGGGGTGCACGATGGCCTTGGTTACATTGGAAACATGTTCTCCCTCCTCATGCTTTTGTAGGTCGTGCTTCCCGATAAGGATGGTGAGATTGCTGTAAGAAAATAGCCAAGTCCCAGAACTGATGAAAATTCTAATGAACGGCAGGCTTTTCCTAGACCCTAAGTGAGGAAAGTGAGGAAAGATAACATTTCTCCCAGTGGAGTCCGGTCCTTAAGGGTGAAGAGGACATTGGGTGATGTCGGTCTCAGGCTACCCTCAGTCAAAAATGTTAGGGACCTTCCTCATTCAGGACCAATTTTTGTTTGTTTTCAACAAAGCTGTGGAGGAAATGAATGGGACAGAGGAGAAGCAGTGTCTCTATGTGTACATGTGAAAATTGTTTGATCACCTGCCAAAATGTGTACAAATATGCACTTTTGCATGAGCGCTACGGACCAATTTTTGTTTGTTTTCAACAAAGCTGTGGAGGAAATGAATGGGATAGAGGAGAAGCAGTGTCTCTGGCTGCATCTATGTGTACATGTGAAAATTTGTTTGATCGTCTGCCGAAATGAGTACAAATATGCACTTTTGCATCAGCGCTATGGACCACTTGCTGCTGTGCTTTCCACCCCACCAACCACAATGGCTGCTGCTAGTACAGATGTTTTCTGCCTCTGAAAAGCTAACTTGTCAGTAGGGATAGCGCTATTATTTGAGAGAGAAAACATGTCTTGGTAGATGCTGGGAGGGAAACAATAATTCTATGAATTATTTGTCCTGAGTCCCCTGGCCATTCTCTTATTTAGAGCACTGATCCCCAACCTTGGGCCTCCAGATGTTCTTGGACTTCAACTCCCAGAAATCCTGGCCAGCAGAGATGGTGGTGAAGGCTTCTGGGAGCTGTAGTTCAAGAACATCTGGAGGCCCAAGGTTGAGGATCACTGATTTAGAGGACAGAGCTGTTATATAACCTATCCTGCATCACCAAAGCTAACCTTCTGCTTTCAGGAAGGTGTAGGACACTATCCCATGGTCAGGGTTAGAAGAAGCTTCAGTTGCTGTACCCATCTGCTTCTGTCTGTATTTGGCACATGGACTCAGGTCATCATCTTGCCCTTCATATCAGGAAGATACTTTCTCCCTGCCGGAGTGGTTTCAGACTAGGCTTAGATACCTGTTCTTAACCCGAAGACACTTTCAAACAGGTGAGCTATTCCCCTATCAGTATGACATAAAAGTCCAGGAAGGGCTTATCACATTCTGAGGGCGTGGAGCTAGTTTTCAGCCCTTAGGATTCACTGTGCCCTACACCAGGCCAAAAATGTCAAGGAAAACGAAGTTGGAGATAGCCAAAGTTCTGTTCCGGGCAGATCATCAGAAGTTCTGGAGAAATTGCTATTCCTGTATTACACCCGTACTACTTCATGCTTACTCCCCCACCCACCGCAAAATGGTCCCACAGACTTGCCTTCCTTGACAATGCCCAGCTGTAATCACCCAATGCTCGTTGATCAAAGCTCCTCCACACCGGTTTTTTTCAGAATTAGAAAGGAAGATTAGCCAGGGCTGAGAATGCGCCACACATTCAGATCCTCCGATGATGCGCGAACCAGTCTGAGATGACACTGAGACACAAATACTACCGTCAGTGGTGTTGTGGGAAGTGTGGAAACGTAGGCTCCTCTTGGCAGTTATAGCTATTCCTCTATGGTGAATTTTTTTAAAAAAGTGAGGATCTATATCAACGAATACTAGCACTTTTCATCTCTACTATGAGTCTTTTGTAGAAATAATGGCTCTTGATTGTCCAGCCAATGAAAAATATTTTCTTTTATTCCAGGGATAGCTTTCCTTACTAGCAGAAAAACTTATGGATCATTAATTATCTTTATAGCTCATACCAAGCAGACATCATATAGGAAACTACTCTATCTTATACCAGGGTTGATTATTTGGACTAATAATCCAGCCTAATATAATCTTCCTTGACTGATAGCAATCTGGATTTTTTAATTGCTTTTTAGTACTATTAAATCTGCTCTGCTCACAGTGGTGCCTCGCATAGCGAGGTTAATCCGTTCCTGATTAACCCTCGCTATGTGAAAACATCGCTAAACGGAACATCATTTAATGCGTTCCAATGGGCCCTAAACTTACCGTTCAGCGAAGTTTCCTTCATAGTGGCAGCCCTTTTCGCACCCTCAGTAAGCGAGGGGAGGGCGTGAAAACGCTGCGTGCAGCCATTTCAGGGCTTCCGGTGGCCATTTTGGAACCGCCTAACAGCTGATCCGCGGGCATCGCAAAGCGAAGATCGGTAAGCAAAACGCTTACCGATCGTCGCTATGCGAGTTTTGCCCATTGCGACCGTCAGTATGCCTCCGCATTAGCGATCCCGAAAAAGGGATCGCTATGCGGATTCGTCGTTATACGGTGCGCTCGTTAAGCGAGGCACCACTGTATTTGTTATTAGGCCCTATGTTCATAGTATTGAAAGGTGACTGCTGCTCTTCATGTAATCAAAACAACACCATCTATTCACAAGAGAGAAGTATATTTTTGTATGTTTTGTTACATTTCTAATCCCATCCTTCCCCCAAAGAATTTAAGACAACATCCACAGGTCTTTTCCTCCTTACTTTATCATCACAACAGTTATGGAGTTTTGAATTTTTGTTTAACTCCTCTAGCTACAACAGAAGTGCAGGGACTCACAGAACAGAATTAGCATCAAATTCCCTAGATTAGTCCATCCCTTTTTCTCCTCAACTGGCACTTACAGTCTCCATAACTCACTCTGAGACATTAGTAAGTGAAAAAATAAAACTCATTTTGTTTTACTTACAGTTATGAACAGATCAAACAGCAAACTGAACAAAACCTAACTGCTTTTGCAAGCAGGCCTCAACAGACTGACTGCTTCCAACAGACAGAAGAGATGGAAACAGAGCAGATAATTCACTGAATTCAGAGGCAAGGAAGAAAAAACTGTTAAGTGCTGGATAGAGTGATAGTCTCCTTAGATCCAACAGGTCCTTCCAACCAAACCTACTAAAGGCAGCATTTGTTGTTTAGTTGTTTAGTCGTGTCCGACTCTTCGTGACCCCATGGACCAGAGCACACCAGGCCTTCCTGTCTTCCACTGCTCCCCGGAGTTTGGTCAAATTCATGTTGGTAGCTTCGGTGATACTGTCCAACCATCTCGTCCTCTGTCGTCCCCTTCTCCTCCTGCCCTCACACTTTCCCAGCATACGAGACAGCATACAAGTCCTCTTGCCCTCACACTTTCCCAACATACGAGGCAGCATACAAGGTTGCAAAAAACAAAGAAACCCACCTCTGGCCACTACTCTGTAAAGCACAGCAGGCTGAGAAAGTGTGAATGGCCAAGCAAAGATTTCACTACAGGTTTACATGTCTTCATTAAGCTGTGTAATCAATACACTACATTCACATTGTTGCTTAGCAGGTCCAGAGAAACCTCAACAATTGTAAATGGAAACGAAACTTTAAGGCAGAAAAAAAATGTATTAAATAGGAGAGGGTCCCTGTAACAGCCCACTGAAGACACAGCATGTTTAGCAGTCACAGAACACTATTGACCCTCCTTCGGTGATAAATTTAGCATGGGTGGGAGGAAGGAATGCATGGAAAGAAGTAGCTGGAAAGAGGAACTCATTAACGGAAACATTTTATGCTGCAATATGAAATACAGGTTCTACTTTATATGATTGTGACTCACACCAACCTTGGCTGAGTCAGTTAGGTGCCCCTCTTCTATTCTAGAATCCATGGATGAGGCTCAAGAACTTTGCAACATAATGACTTATTGAACTGGGAGAAGGTAGTGAAACATCATGTCAAGTGAGTACGAGTCAGTTAGGTGCCCCTCTTCTATTCTAGAATCCATGGATGAGGCTCAAGAACTTTGCAACATAATGACTTACTGAACTGGGAGAAGGTAGTGAAACATCATTTCAAGCGAGTACAAACTAGTTTCCTTCAATATTCAAATTGCAGGGATGGCATCAAGAAGGCAAAAGCTGAGAATGAGCTAAGGTTAGCCAGAACGTTTAAAGCAAATAAAAAAAAAGTATTTTTCAGTTATGTGCGTAGCAAAAGACAGAGAAAATAAATAGTGATTCAGTGGATTTAGAAAATAATAACAGGCAACAAAGAAAAGGCAGAAATGCCCGATTCATACATTAGCTTGGTCTTTTTCAAAAGTCAATCTAGAACCCTCCAGGCAAATGTGAAGTACAAGTAGATGGGAGAGGATTGCAGCTTTAAATTGATAAAGATATAGTCATAGAATATTGGAACAACTTCAGATCTCCAGGGCTGCATGAACTACATCCAAGAGTATTGAAAGAACTGGCTGAAGAACTCTCAGAATATCTGTCTTGAAATCACAAAGGATGGGTGAAGTGCTGGATGACTGGAGGAAGGCTAACATTTATCTTCAAAAAGGGCAAAAGAAAGGAATTTGAGAACTACGGAACAGTCAGGCTGACATAAATTCCAGGGAAATATCTGGAGCAGATTATAAAGCAGCCATTCTGCAAACACCTTGAAAACAATGCAATAATAACTAGAAGCCAAAATGGATTTGTCAAGAACAAATCGTGCCAGACCAATCTGATCTAATTTTTTGATTGGGTAACCTGCTTGGTAGACAGTGGGAATGCTGTAGACATCATATATCTTGACTTCAGCAGAACTTTTGACGAAGTGCCCCATTATATTCTGATTGGCAAGCTAAGTAGGTGTGGGCTGGACAGATCAAATGTCAGGTGGATACACAGGTGGTTACAGAATCATACTACCAAGTGTGCAAAATGGGAGGAGTTCAGTCCTGGGTGTGGTGCACTTCAACATTTTTTATGTTTGACTTGAATGTGGGAATGCAGGGAATGCTCATCAGATTTGTGGATGAAGCAAAATTGGGTGGAATAACTAATACCCCTAGAAGACAGAAACAAAATTCAAAAAAATCTTGATAGGCTCAAGCATTGGGCTGAAAACAACAGAATGAAGTTGAACTGGGATGAGTTCAAAGTTCTACAGTTAGGGAACAAACAAACACACACATATACAGTTACAATATACTTGGCACTTAGTTCAATAATACTACAAGCAAGAAGGATCTTGGAATTGCTGTAGATCAGAAGCTGACTATAAGCCAACAGTATGTGAGGCTGCAAAAAAGGCAAATGCTATTTAAAGTTGCATTCATGGAAGTATAGTCTCCAAGTCCCATGAAATATTAGTTATCTATTCAGCATTGATTAGGCATCATCTAGTGTACTGTATCAAGCTCTGATTGCATCTTAAGAAGGATGCCAACAAGGATGATGAGGGGATTGGATGCCAAGCCCTATGTGGAAAGACTAAAAGAACTGAGCATGTTAAGCCTTAGGAAAAGAAGGTTTTGGGTAAATATGGAAGATTGTCATACAGAGGAGGGGCAGGATCTGTTCTCAGTCATCCCAGAGTACAGGACTGATAATATTGGGCTCAAGTTATAGGAAGCCAGATTTTGGTTAAATATCGGTTGGGGGGGATCCTAACTTTCTAAGTATGACAATGGAACCAATTACTTAGGGAAGTGGAGAGTCCTTCAACTGGAGCCGAGGCATTCAAGAGAAATCCAGACAACTGTCTTCCAGATATGCTTTGATTTGGATTCTTGCATTGAGCAAGCGTTGAACTCAATGGCTTTATAGGCCCCTTCCAACTCCATTATTCTATGTTTTGGTGCTTCTATGATAATGCTGACACGAGGAACAGGAACCAATTACGAATAAAGCCACAAGGTGAAAATCCTAAGTGCAGAGGACTTTTGTTGAAGAAGACTGGCTTCTGAAACATTGGCCAGGGTGGGCATTGCCAGAAAAATACAGCACCATATTTAGTGCTGAATGAAAGCACCATTTAAACTTATTTCCAGATATTTGTAGAAAAAATGACACCCAAGCAATTTCTAAGGGCTTGATGTGGAAAGATGTGTGTTTCTCCCCAGTCTATCAAAGGTTAATTGTTTAATGTCAAGGGATCATGTAAATTATTATCTGGAAATGTTTAAGGTGCAGGTGTAGGCATGAGTCCTGTCTTATGAGAACAGAGAAATGTGCAAAGGTCCTCAACCTGAAGGTTACAGGATGTACTTTCCTTCAGGGCACAACACGATCCACATGGGCTTTCTATGCCAGTATGTTGAATGTTTTTGCACTCATCTCTAAAACTAAAACTAGAACCCAGACTTTCTCTACTTATTACACATCGAGTTGATTGACAGTTCTTCTCTCCTCCCTTCCAAGCCAGATTGTTAATGTGTTTTAATTAAATTTAAGAAGGTATTTCAAGCAAGTATGGTGGGCTTTTGTATTAATTAACATAATGAACCCTGGCTTGCACAGGATGGTAAACCAGTCTGCAGCTTATTGAATACTAGATTCTTGTTTTATCTAAGCTCAAACCCATCCCAGCAAACAAATCATATTAGTTGGCTGCAAATCATTGCAAATTAGAAACGGTCACTTGTTGCATTATGACCTCTGGATACTCAGAACTGGATACCTAGTTGTGGAGCCAGAGGCTGGGAGTTGATTCCCCACTGTGCCTCCTGGGAGAAGAGCTATATGTAGCTGTATTGTTGTCCACAGTTACATCTGAAGCTAGCCCCACTGTGCCTCCTGGGAGAAGAGCTGTATGTAGCTACAATATATTGTTGTCTGCAGTAACATCTGAAGCTAATCTCTAGCTTGTTTGTTTCCCTAACTGCCCACCTTAGAACAGGAACTGCCAGAAAGGGCAGGAGACAAGCAGGCTAGAAATGGTGAAAAGTTTATAGTTTGTGTGACTGGAACCTTGTTGGAGTTGTAGTAGATTCAACTCATGCCTTCAGTGGACATTGAGAAACATGCAGAATGATATACATGTGTGAACAAGCATCTCCAAGGCTCAACTGGGAAAAGAAAAAGATTTTAGCACTCTCCAAAAAGTGTCAGATTAACTAATTAGGATAGACAGATTAACTAATTAGGATAATTATAATAGGGAAGAAAGTTCCACAACTTATTACCTACATTGTACCTGCAGGGTATTGCTCAAATAAAGCCTTTTTCAAAAAGTCATCATGGCGGGCTGATGTGAATAAATGTATCCTCACAACTGTACGACAACAGGTCGCAAGCCGAAAACAAGCTACTTTAAGCTTCACCCATCTATGAGAGACCGACATGAATGGTCAGTTCCCTGCCCACATACACACATATTTGCAGCTGCGTAAACACCCAGTGTCTTACCTGTAGAAGCCAGAAATAGCACCATATTCAGAAGTTGCTCCATGATGCCGAGACCAAGAGGACGTGCAATGTATACTGTAGTGCTATACTTCACAGAATGTAAAGTTCAGAGATAAATGAATATGCCTCTCTGTTTGTGGCTTCACCTTTCTCTTTGAATTTACATGAAGCTTCCCACCCATGCACCAGTCACGATGCTTGTTTTGAAGAATGGAGTGGGTGCTTTGGTGAGTCAGGTGGGAAGGTCCCAAGTTCAAAGCGAATAGTACAGATGGAAAAAGAGACCCAGGCTGTTTTGAGTAAGTCATTAAATCTAAGCCCAGTCTGGAATGCACCTGTAGCGTGTGTTTTTTAAGTGACACAAACTGACAATATGGCATCATGATTAGATTGCTGGCATGGTAATTGGGGGATCAAGGTTAAAATCCTCAGGAGCTGCAAAACTATTGAGTGACCTTGGTCCAGAAGCTGGTATTGGAGATACTGCAGTAAGAATAGGAAAATCTTTAACTAATAAAAGTAATCAAGAAGCTACCATTAGGATAGAATACGGGGAGACAGAATGGTTTCCTATAGGCAGAGGTGTCAGATAAAAGTGCATTTTATCCCCTTATCTGCTCCGTCTGTATGCAGAACATATCATACGGAAAGGCAGACTAGATTCAGATGAAGGAGGGGTGAAAACTGGTGGGAAAAAACAGCAAATTAAGATATGCAGATCACACCCTTTTCTTGGCTGAAGGGACTTTGAAAGAACTTTAGTGAAAATGAAACAAGAAAGTGCCAAAGCGGGATTGCAGCTGGATGATAAGAAGACAAAAATATTAAGAACTACAAAGCTACAAAAAATGAAAAAAATTCACATAATTAAAGATTTTGTATATCTTGGTTCAATCATCAATCAAGAGACTGCAGCCAAGAAATCAGAAGTTGACTGAGACTAAGAAGGGCAGCAATTAAGGAATGAGAAAAGATCATGAAGTGTAAATATGTGCCACAGAAGACCAAGAATAAGATCATTCACACTCTTCTATTTCTGATCACCATGTCTGGATGTGAAAGCTGGACAGTGAAGAATGCAGACAGAAAAAAATTGGATTCATTCAAAATGTGGTGCTGGAGGAGAGCTTTACAGATATCTTGGACTGCCAGCAAAATGAACCGTAGGTCCTAGATCAAACCAAGCCTGAACTATTTTCCGAGGCAAAAATGTTGAAACTGAGGCTGTCCTACTTTAGGCACCTCATGAGAAGGCAGGATTCTCTGGAAAATATAATAATGCTGGGAAAAGTGGAAGGCATCAGGAAAAGAAGATGAGCAAATATGAGATGGACTGGCTCCCTAAAGGAAGCCACAGGCTTGAGTTTACAAGAACTGAGCAGTAGGAAGTGACTTGATGGCAAATAACAACAATCAGAGTAATTGAGTATCACAGCAGGAAATGCCAAATTAGATTGCTATGTCTGATCTTCAGTCTTCAGGAATTGTGTGAGAGTCTGTCTATTTATTTATTTATTTATTTATTTATTTATTTATTTATTTATTTATTTATTTATTTATTTATTTATTTATTTATTTATTTGTTTA